GATATCAGGGATGTTATAAGCACTGCTCTTAACATAGAAAGCTATTTTCTTAATAGTGTTATTTTTTGGCCAACTTTTCTTTACCAGTAACTTCTTGATAGCTTTTTGTTTTGTAAGGTTGAAATAGGACAATGCTTATTTCGACCAGATTATCCATCTGCAGGATTAAGATATGCAACCGATTGATAATAGACAAAATCTCTAATTTGCCCTTCTCAACCTTTAGGTTAGGTACAAGCTAATTAGTAGTAAATCTTGGTTTACAAAAAGGTTTTCTTGGGAAGGATTTTGGTTTCATGATATATTTGTGAATTAGGGAATATTTGTTAACCATTTTATAGCTAAGTGATTTGTACATGGTTAGTTACAAATAAAACTGGCACTAGAACCCAGGCCTTCTGACCTCTTAATTTAGTGATTCTGCTAAAGGTTTAAAACCCTTGCTTACACAGTGAGTGACACAATTAACAGCGTTGAAATCCCTTCTTGACAGGAAAGCACCTTTGTCTCAATTTTACAATTAATTGGCACATCTTTTAGCAAATGCTCAACATAATGTTGATTGTAGGACTACTGTTTTTAAGCTTTAGAATGATCTTAATTATTTTTTGTATCTGTGTGTCTGTCGTCTGAAGAACCCAAACTATTTCAAATACTTTAAAAATTCAAACCATAAGTGGCATTGGTGTTTTTAAAAGAATAAAATAAAAGACTAATTTAGCAAATAATTTGTTTAGTTTGGGTTTAGGATTAAATTTAAGCAATAGTTCCCTTCTGTCTCCTCAGGTTGAGCAGTGTTTTTTCTGTTTTCTACCTGGCTCTTTTTGAGAATCTGATGAAAGCTTTTGGCCCATTCCCCAGAAAAATGTACATACTCATGTTTTCATAATTTCAAGGGTATTATGACACTTTTGAAGTTCGTCCACACACCCAGGGTAAGAACGCTTGTGACAGAGTCCCAAGAACACTTCTACAAAAAGGAATTAGCGTTTTTCACACGGTATATTGCTCAAATGTTTGTAAGGGGGGAAGGGCATTATTATGTTGTTCCTAAAATAGAGCTAAAGAAATAATACACATTTACCATCTGATAGGGGTGTGAATATTAATGGGTACCTCAGAACTAAGGCTTTCTGAAATTCAAATATTTTCATGATGATTAACATGAGAATAGTTAAGTAACTAAATGTAAGTGATTTAAAGAAGTGAATCAAATGAACTAATATATATGAAAGCTTTGAAACTTGAAGTGTTATACATATATGTGATATGATTATTGTCTAGGAAGGCTGCATATATATTAGAATGTAAAGCAAAATATAGGTTCCTGATGTTCCATACTGCAGACATCATAGCTGTTTGTTAGACGTATCTAAGTAGCAAGAGTTCTTTTTCTCATAAAGGGCAGCTAAACAGGTGGTTGGAAAAGGGCATCTACCCATAAGGAATCTATTTAAAATATAATGAAAAATATAATCAATTTGCTACTCACTGCTCATTAAACTAGGATCCAGTGCTTTGCCCAGTGTCATTTTTACCAATTTGTACTGAAATGAGGAAAAAATATAAAACATGATGTAGGGGCCGGCCTGGTGGCCCAAGTGGTTAAGTGCCCACCCTCAGCTTTGGCAGCCCGAGGTTCGCAGGTTCGGATCCCGGGCACCCACCGATACACCACTTATCAAGCCATGCTGTGGCGGCATCCCGTATAAAGTAGAGGAAGATGGGCACGGATGTTAGCCCAGGGCCAATCTTCCTCGGCAAAAAGAAGAGGATTGGCGATGGATGGAAGCTCAGGGCTGATCTTCCTCACCAAAAAAAAAAAAATGTAAACTAAAATTATTTCATTTGTTTTAATGTTCACAAATTGAAAATATAAAAAGTTTGCAGCTCTAGGTCAGTTCCCTAAACTTTAAAAGAAAGTTTACTTGTCTTTGAAATCCTAAAGTGTGATAACCGGAATGTAGACATCTACATACTTTATTTTATTTATTTATTTGTTTGTTTATTTATTTTTATGAGGAAGATTAGCCCTGAGCTAACATCCGATGCCAATCCTCCTCTTTTTGCTGAGGAAGATTGGCCCTGGGCTAACATCTGTGCCCATCTTTCTCTATTTTTTAATATGGGATGCCAGCACAGCATGGCTTGACAAGCGGTGCGTTGGTGCGCACCCAGGATCCGAACCTGCAAACCCCAGGCCGCCAAAGCGGAGCGCACGCAGTTAACCACTACGCCAGTGGGCCAGCCCCATCTACATGCTTTAGGTTTGAACTCTTGGAATCATTTTATGTTGTGTGCTTCTTAGCTGTTTCACTTTGCCTCTATCCTCATCAGATCTCTCCCATATCTTTGTCAAAATTTCAACACGTTTTCATCATTACAACTAACTTTAGAAGAATATTCATTATAGCAAATATGAAAGTATTAGGAGACAAAATTATTTATAGAAAATGTGACTAACTAGCAATCCTGAGAGAATTAATTGATAAGCTATTTTTAGAACCATCAAGATGGTTAATTATATAAAAACCAGCTGGTTTTTTTGTTTTGTTTTGTTTGCTGAGGAAGATTTGCCCTGTGCTAATGTCTGTTGCCAATCTTCCTCTTTTTTTGCTTGAGGAAGATTAGCCCTGAGCTAACATCTGTGCCAATCTTCCTCTATTTTGTATGTGGGTCACCACCACAGCATGGCTGAGAGTGGTGTAGGTCTGCACTGGGGATCTGAACCTGCAAACCTGGGCCACCAAAGCAGAGTGTGCCGAACTTAACCACTACGCCACAGGGCCAGCCCCCCAGCTGTTTTTTTAAATGAAGAAATAAAACAATCATATTCACAGAAACTGCCAAGTCTTACAGTACCAGATAGACAATAGGTTTTGTGCCCTCTCTGTGACTCTGGGGCATTTTGTCACCTGGATCTATTCTATCAGCTTCCGTTCCTTGCTTCTTAACCTTGTGGACTAAACATGGTCCAAGACACAGGGAATATAGAGAACAGATATTGTTGCATACCATTCTCTCCATTTTTGAGACATATTTTCTCAGAAACCATCCTACTGTTGTGGGCATTACCTCTCTCCAATGGAGTCAACCTTTTATATTCTCACCTGTGAAGCAATTTTAGCTGCTTAGAACAACTATATCTGAATCAGGAATACTTTGGTGGGTCAAACTATTCCTTAATTCTGGAGAAACTAACAAATAGCAATGGCTGTCACTTCAAGGCAGAGTGTCACCCAGAGTCTCAATGTCCTGATGGCTTTCTTTTTACAGAGAAGATATCATGGGGCAATGTTTTCCTCTCACTTTATACATTAGTTAGGATCTAAGTGTGGTATATACAGAGACACTATAGTTGCTTTAATAAGATAGATGTTTCTTATGTAAAAGTCCAATCTGTTATGTTGGCCCTAATCTAGAAGGTTGCCTGAGACCCAGGCTTTTCTGTTTTCCTGTTCTGCTATCTCTGGGGTGTTGTCCTGGTCCGCGTGGTCCAAACTGGTTCATCCTCGTGTCCACATTCCAGCTATCAGGAAGGCAGGAACAGGAAGGAGAGGGCATGACCCTTCCCTGTGAGGGAAGTTGTGCACATCACTTCCAGTCAGCTAAAATGATTGCCAGGACTCCCAAGACCCACAGCTTAGAAACTGCGGTGGAAGAAGGCAGTATTTTCTGATATCTCTGGCAGATAACTCCTGGGAGGTCTAGGACTCTGAATAGCCAAGTTTGGTAACTTGTAATAGATAAAAGTTGGGGGATGAAAATGTTGAGGAAGACAGGTAAGGAAATATACTCAATAAAGGGTTATAGTTCCTACTGTGGCAGACTCGGGGTTCTATTACTAAATAGATTAATAAGCTAATATATTTTAGTATAGACATGTCAAGGCTTCCTGTATTCAAATGCAGACAGTTCACAACACCATGCAGGCTTTATTGCTATGATGGTCATTTCAAGTCTCCATAATCCTCCTTCCGCAATAAATTCACAGCCAAAAGTTAAATTCCGTATATGGTGAACAATGATTTTTCAAAAAAAAATGCACCCCTGAGTGCCTTTAACACACACATTTGTCACACACAGGAGCACTTGTCACATCCTTGCCATTAAGTCCTATCTCAGTCCAAGTTTTCCTAGAAAGGGCAGAAATTAAGCCTCCAGGGTTCTCTCCCTAAATGCCCAAACTCTTTTCTAATCCTGTCTTCTCCTCTGGGAACCTACCAGCTTAGCCCTCTCACTTATGCTACACCCCAACAGCTCTCACTCTTGCTAAAAGGAAAAAGAGGAGAATGCACTGGGGCAGTTGGCATTCTCTGTCGCAGTTGACTAAGTGGATAGTGTTGTCATTCAATGAGTTTGAGAATATAGGAGACAGATCGTATTTGGAGACACTAGTAGATGCATGTGGAGTCACACCCTTTTGGCCAGCCTCTGAGTTCAGCTGCAACTATGGCGGACACCCCTAGACCCTGGTAACAGGCCACTTTACTTTGTTTTTCTGCCTCAATGCTTTCTCTGAAGGATCATTCTCTTGGGCAATGCTCGTGCAACCACAGCACATGAGTTCAAGGGGAAGTTAATGCCCCGGGGCAGTCCTTAAGCAATGGAGGATGGGAATTGATAGATACATGCCTCAGCTTTAAGAAAGGGACAATTTTAAAATACATAGTATATGGATCCTCAGAGGGTCCCCTGGATTGAACCTCAATCTTCCCACAACAGTAATCAACTCAGTAACACATCTGCCATGTGTCACTTTTAGGGTATGGCCAACCATGTCACATCACAGAAATTTGATTTGGCAGTTAGAAGTTCATTGGTGGTATTTTGCAAAGAAGTTTCAATCTGAACATTGCTTGGGGGCAGAAGCTTGGTAAGAGTGGATTGGAATGAGTGAGATGAAGCTTTAGTTAGTCACAAGCCAAATGTGGGTTTACCCCACCTCTAAAGGGATCAGGCAAATTCAACCCTTCTTGAAACATGATAACAAAAAAATTTATGTTTTTATAAAAAAAAATGTTGCCAAAAATGTTGAACCTGAATCTCATTAAGCCATTAGAACAAACTTCCAGTTTACAGGAAAGACTATGGTCAGAAGGACAAATTAAAAACACTGTGAAGAAGCAATCAGCCAAGTCTAGAATGTGGGACATCCAACAGGACAGCTAACACAATGTCAACAGTAATTTATCTTCCCTCACATGGTAAGATGTGACAAATTGGAAACAGAAAGTGTTACCACCCAAAAGGTGGGGGTGGGGGGGTCCTCTGCCCGCCACAAGACATGCCAATAGTCAAGAGGCAAGGTGGTAGGAGAGAAATGACTTTTTATTACAGCTAGCTAGCAAGAGGGAAGATAGCCGACTAATGTCCGAAAAAAACCCGTCTTACAGAACAAAGACTACAGGCCAGTTATATAGGGGGCTGGTCTCTGGGTCGGGGAGGCATCTGGTCTCTAGGTGAGGGCATCCATCTGATCTCTGGGTGGAGGCAGATATCTGGTCTTAGTCCCTGACAGTCTTTGGTTTTACATCAGAGACCAGAGCAATGACCTATACCCTGATCTTTTAGTTGTTCTTGCTGATGGCTATCAGCATATACTCTCTGTACAGGGGTCATCACATTCCTAAGGAACTCAAGAGAACAAAGTTATCAACTTATAGCAGCTGGGAGGAGCCATAAAATCCACAGAGCATGTCTGGGTTAGTTAATCAGAGGTCATTCAAAGTTACAGTATGGTTTCTTTTCTACAATATGGCTTCCCTCATATCAACCTTGTGTTGAGCCGGTATCAAAAGCATGGGCTATTGTTGGGAAGGGAATGGGCAGTACCTAGTAAGTGACAAGAGATTTTCACATATTGAGGTATATGAGGTAAGTATTTGGGTTCAGGACTGGTTCAGCTTGAACTAGGGAGGCCTGGTTTATGGCATGTTGGGCATGCATTGTACATCTGCTTTGACCATTAAAGTAAAGAATGCACTCTCTTAAGAGAAGAATGTATACTTCCCCTCCTACGCCCTATTGGTAAGGCAGTATTGGTAACACCTGTATTAGTCCCTTTCCCAACATCAGGGTCATGTTGACATGCTAATTCGCAACTGAATACCTCTTTGAAACTTTGAAAATGAATCCTGGGTGTTTTTGATGTATGTTCTTTGTTGTAAGAAGAAATAAAACTGTACTGAAGGGCCGGCCCCGTGGCTTAGTGGTTAAGTGCGCGCGCTCCACTGCTGGCGGCCCGGGTTCATATCCTGGGCGCGCACCAACGCACCGCACTGCTTCTCCGGCCATGCTGAGGCCGCATCCCACATACAGCAACTAGAAGGATGTGCAGCTGTGACATACAACTATCTACTGGGGCTTTGGGGGGAAAAAAATAAATAAATAAAATATTAAAAAAAAAAAAACTGTACTGAAAACCACACTTCTCTGGAACATTGGAACATTTTCTAAGTCCTTGCCAGGTTATAATCCTCACTCTGGCTCGAGTAAAATTCACCTTATTTCTCTTATCTATAGAATGGGTATTGGTTATTTTGCCTCAACATGAGGTAGAGAATACCTAGAATGTGTTTTTGGTTGCTACAAGTCTTAAATACCTTATTAGGCTCAGGCAAAAAGCCATTAGAGAAAATAAACCTGGAGGAAGAAGGGGAGGGTCATGTAGATGGAGATGAGTTTCTAGGTGTGGCTTTGGACTTCAGGAAGCTAATACCTCTAACCTTAATTCTTTCTTCAAATTAGGGTGCAAGGTTTTCTGCTGAAAGAAAAGGAGCAGCAGGGGCAGGGTGCTTGAGGAGAGGGCGAATCTACTAACTGGTCAGCTTTGTGAGGGCAGGAGGGATAGGGGCTACTTCATCTTGTATCTCTCATAACACCAATCAAAGTGCCTTGTACAGAGCTGAAAAAACATTTAAGACTGGAAGTGTTGCAAAACAGACCTGTGCATATCCTAGATCTTAACAATATAAGACGTATGAAGCAGAGGAAGACTATCCTCTACCCACTCTGGGTCCTTTCTGGCTGAGCTACAAATTAAATTGACAGGAAACTGAATAGTAGCAGAAAGTCAAACAAAGCTTTATAGCATGTATACATGGGAGAGACCAGGAAAACTGAATAACTTGACAAAATGGCAGAGGTTCTCATCTTAAATACTATCTTCAGCTAAAGACAAAGGAGGATGTTGGGGGTGGGGGGATTACCAGAAAAGCACGTAAACAAGAGTAAGGTTATTATGCAGATTTAAGGCCTCGCCTTCCACATTGATAAGTTTCTATAGATGAGATCATCCCCCCTTCTTCCTGGTACAGAGAGGGAGATACCTTTACAAATGGAGATTTCCCTTACAAATGTAAATGTTTGGTAAACAGAACTTTGATAAGAATGGGTTTAGCAAAGACCCTCCCAGTCTATCCATACCCAGAGTTATCTATGGTGATGGCCTGTCCTGGGGACAGGTCTTCTATCTTAAATCCTTTTAGGCAGTTAGTGGACAAGGAGATCAAAGTTTCTTTCTTCTGAGCCTTTATTGTCTTCAGCTAGAAATAATCCACATACCAGAGTGGCATATCTTGGGATGGCCTGCCCTGAACCCCATCAGTTATCATTGAAATTTCTATTTTTTAAATAATCCTTAAATGGCTTGAATTTCTGATTATTGTTCCTGATCACTAGATGATTCTGATTTTCTGTCAGTTATGTCTATGCAAAATAACCAATAACTATTCTATAGATAAGAGAAATAAGGTGAGTTTACTTGAGCCAGAATGAGGATTATAACCTGGGAAGGCCTTAGAAAGCATTCCAGAGAAGCATGGTTTTCAGTACAGCCTTATATCTTTTTAGGACAAAGAACATACATTAAACACACCCAGGATACATTTTCATCAAAATTTCAAAGAGGTATCCCGTTGCAAATTAGCAGGTCAACATGACCGTGATGTCAGGAAAGGAACTAATCCGGGTAGGCATTGCCATTAGGGCATTACCAATAGGGCGTAGGAGGGGAAGTATGCATTCTTATCCTAAGAGAGTGCATTCTTTACTTTAATAGTTAAGCAGATGTACAATGTATGTTTGATAGGCCATAAGTCAGGCTTTTTAGTTCAAGCCGAATCAGTTTTTTTGTTTTTTTTTTAATAATTTTATTTAATTTATTTTTTTCCCCCAAAGCCCCGGTAGATAGTTGTATGTCATAGCTGCACATCCTTCTAGTTGCTGCATGTGGGATGCGGCCCCAGCATGGCCAGAGAAGCGGTGCGTCGGTGCGCGCCCGGGATCCGAACCCAGGCTGCCAGCAGCGGAGCGCGTGCACCCAACCGCCAAGCCACGGGGCCGGCCCAAGCCGAATCAGTTTTGACCCAGAATAGTTACCCCATATACCTCAATATGTGAGAATCACTTGTCGTCTAGAATCATAGAACAGTAGAGAGCAGTTTTCTTATTTAAACCCAAAGAACTTTAAATAATATACCAAGGGTCACACTGCTAGTTATTAGTAAAACCATAATTAGACCTGTGTTTCCTGTCTTTTCAATTAGGGCACTTTCTGGTACATCCTCTTGCCTCCTGAGTAGCATTATGAGGATATCTATACCATTTTTTCAATGTGTACACCATCTCAAACATAGGACTTGGAAAGTAAAACCACTGTCGTTCTACTTGAGATTTATTTGGTCCTCCAATCTAGTTATGATGCACCTTAGGACACTGAGTCTGGAATTTCTGCACCTCTTACTAAGAACTCTGAATAAGGAGAGGCCCAGACTTGAAGCAAAGTCATCTTAGCACAATTGAGAAAGGAAATGAAAAATTGTTTTTAGTTCAAAAAAAATTCAAGAAAACCTCCAGTGATCAAATTTGTTTTATATATTAAAACATATAGTATTATTTTTAGTATTATATTATTCTTGTATTTTTAATTATATTTGGTATTTATACTATTTGTATTTTTTTATTAATATCTTAATAGTTTATAACATTGTGAATTTTTGGTTGTACATTTTTGTTTGTCAATCACCACATACAAGTCTCCCTTCATCCCTTGTGCCCACCCCCCACCCCCTTTGCCCCTGGTAACCACAATACATACACAGTTCTCTCTGACCGTGTGTTGGTTTATATTCCACATATGAGTGAAATCATGTGGTGTTTGTCTTTCTCTTTCTGGCTTATTTCACTTAACGTAATACCCTCCAGGTCCATCCATGTTGTTGCAAATGGGACAATTTTGTCTTTTTTTATGGCTGAGTAGTATTCCATGGTATATATATAACCACATTTTCTTGATCCAATCATCAGTCGAGGGACACTTGGGTTGCTTCC